AATCCACTTCCACAGTGTAATCATGTTCATGTTGTTCTTCAAATGCATATACAATTTGTTGTTGCAGTAACGTTTTTCGTCTGCTACCACAGGCGGCTTCGCCCTGTGGACAGTTCACACGTGATCCAGTCACGCTACTCTTCGTCCGCCTATGCGCCATCTGCAGCCGATTCTCGCTCTTCTTGGCTCGCAAATAGTCGTACAGCAGACCTCCACATGAAAAGTTGGATGCTGGTTCCCAAGATGGATCTTCATAACCAACCCACTTGACTTTGAACTCGTGTACAGCACGCTCCGTACTCGTCGACAGTGGTGTTCTGTCGTCGAGGATGGCCTCGACTTCAAATTCACCGGCAACTTGATCTGGTTCCCAGCTGTCTTCAGGCAATAGCTCCTCATCGAAATCGAGTCTTGCTTCATTAGTCGCTTCTAGTACCAACCGAGTGTTCGGTCGACTGTTGAATTCGTTGACAGCCTTGAGTCTCGACACATGCACGACTGGGTAGAAGCGATACCCACTTCGGTCCGGCAGCTCTAGCTCGTACGCAAACTCTTCCACCTTGCGCTTGATCCGAAAAGGTCCATGCCACCGATGAGCTAATTTCTTCGTCAAGCCCGGTTTGACGTGTTCCATGTACAACCCCGCCCGGCTCCCAATCTCAAAAAGAGATATCGCTGGGGCTCTTGCAGGATTTTCTATCTCTTCCGAAGCTTCTGGAGGGTCCACCGAGTGTTCATTTCAACTTGGTTGAGGAACAACGGCTTTTTCCAGTCGACTCAGAGCATCATTATGCCTTTTAGCTCTTCGCTCCTTTTCTACAGCCTGGTAATCTTTGGCCATAGTGCGGGCGACCTCATGTTGTCGATTGGTCTCACGCCGCCACGCCAGTGCGTCAGACTGCTTGCCGAATCCTTGTTTGAGTGATGACGACATCGCCCGCAACGTCGACTGCGCATCCCAACCATGAACGAGGTAGAACGGTGTTTCCTTCCTTGTAGTGTCCTGAGAAGTATTAATAGCGAACACCAGCTTCTCTGCGATTTCGTCCCAATCTCGCTGTAGAGGGTCTTCCGCGTACACCCGTACGGAACCCATCACCGACTTCACCGAGCGTTCCTGCTGTCCATTAGCCTGTGGCCGATAGCTCAAAGTCGCTCGTGATCTTGACTGCATCATCTCTGCAAATGCTTGGAAAACCTCGCTCATGAAGCGTGGGTCGCGGTCGTGCCTTATTAATGATGGGGCTCCGAATCGTCGGTACACACATTCTTCGAACACTTGGGCAACACTCAGTGCAGTCGTATCTGACATAGCCTTGGCAATAACGAATCCCGTAAACGAGCACTGAAACAGGAGCAACGCCGTGTTGCCCCTGCGAGATTTCGGTAGTGGAATCACAAAATCCATCGAGACGATCTGGAAAGGTCGTTCGGCTAGTACGTTGCCAGGTGAGTATCCACGAAGCTGCGGACGGCTTTTACTCGAGCTGCAATCCGGACATGACCTCACATGCTTCACCACATCAGCGTACAAGCCGATCCAATAATAATCGGACTTAACGCGATGGAACGTTCTCACCACACCTTGATGTCCACATTCCAGCGAGTCGTGACAGTTCTGTAGGACCTCTCGAATCTTCGTTGTCGGTACTACAATCCGCAGCTTGGTCTCCTCTTGCCAACCGTGGTCGTACCGACGATTCAATCCAATATAGTGAAGCACGCCGTCTTCAGACAATACGAACCGGTCAGCATACTTCCAGGCATCTCGAGCTTCTTTGTAACTCAGCTCTTCTGCTTGGCCCTGAAGCACCTTCTTGATGTTAAACCACTTCTACTCCTCGTCTTGTGCCACCAGTATCCGTCTGCGTCGTTCCCGCTGTATCGCTACCGGATCAACATCTTCCGCATCGGGAAATGCCGATGGTACAGTCTTGTGAGGATGGTCTGGCAAATTTTCGCCGAATAAATCTTCGGTGGACGTCTCTCGTCGTTCTTCATGCTGTTCTTGAGACTTTGAGACCCCCTCCGAGTGTTCAGCTGCAAAACTGACGCGTTTCTTGGCGTTCGTCTGTCGCCGAGTCATCACTGCCATATTACCATAATCGCACTTTGGTGAGCTGTAATCAACCACGAAATTTTTGAACGTTTTCCATTTTGAAGACTCGCTCCCTCACAGTACATGTACTTGACGCTCGGCTCCACGTGACGAAACATCTACCGAGTCTTTATCCGGCTCGTAGATCGTTTCCTGGATGCGATTCAGCGACGCCAATTCCGACTTGCGAGTTTCAGCTAAGATGACACGACTGACCTTCGATTCCAGCGCTTCAGTGGCTAATGAATCCGAGGCAGCGTTGTATTCTCGTACAACGTGAAGATATTTCACTGATCAAAGCTTGGCCGCGAGTTCCTTGTGAGTATTCAGCAGCACTAGCAAAGTTTCCTTCCTGCATGCGATCATCCCTAGTGATTGTTGAATCGCGAGCCTTGAGTCACTAACGATGACTAAATCCTCGACACCGTGTGCAATAGCAGCTTTTATATCGTTTATTATTCCTGTGTACTGTGGTGTAGGGATTTCCAGATTCGACCATACACCAACCTACTTTAGGTCAAGAATCGGCTCGGTCTGATAACCCAGAGCTTAAGAACAAAGGATCACGGTAAGTACTCGGCGATCTGTCCGGATATGCTATCCGGATAGCCGCTGAGCTCAACGGTCGCCTGAACTCAGCTGAAGGGTCGGTAGGGATCCGAAACGACTACATTTCACTATATATTTGTATAAGAAGCATAGGATTAAATACCTCCATCGTCATGGCGATGCGTCGTTGATCCGCCAGGTCCGACCCCGCGAGAGGCGATCCTCCAGCCGTCGCTGGGCTTCCGTCGCTCGGAGTTGCTGATCCCTTGACCATCTTCACTCTTCTCTTTCTCTTCTCTTCCTCTTTACTTGGTTAGCTGGCACCTATAAAAACAAGCACACACTCCTGTTCCCGGTCGCGGCACCAGTTGTGGTGTAGTAGAACACACAAATACCGTCAGATGTGGATTCCTTACACAAACCACAACGAATCGCCGAGTTAGGTCGGCGGTTGTATGGCCTGCGCCGAGAGTGGTCCCCTCGCGGTCCGGCCCTTCCGGGACAGACGAGTGGCTCGCTTCCACTCGGTTCCGACTAACCAAGTCAGATAACTTCCGAGGCTCCGCCGAGTTTGGTTCGGCTGAGCTCGTTCACAACCCTGTGCCCTCCACCAAAGGATGAACGACGGCGCGCGAGCGCTTTTACAGGTCACCGAGCGCAGAGGCTGCTCATCTAGAAGTGTTACGGCACCCGGGCTATCCGACGTACCGGCTCGCTGAGTATGCGGGACTTTCTTTCGCGCGTAGCGAGACTTTTTCCTACCCGAACCGACCTAATCTCTTGGCGCTACCAATCAATACCCTACAAGCTATGCGTCTCGAGTATTGACGGCAGGCATAATCCAGCTCTATGCAGGGACTTACCGGATAAGTGTACACGTGTCTTGAACTTGGAAATTGCTGCTCTGTTATCTTCTGGGAGCTCTTTCGGCTCCCCGTGGGACGAACCGTCCAGTTCGACGAGGGTGGCCAAGACTCAGGAGAGCGAGAACGGAGATTCAAGTGAAGGAGAGTATGAAGAGAAGGCCGAGACCACTGAGCTCGGTGAAACGAAGACTACCGCCGAGGTACTTGGCGAGGTGGAAGAGCTGACGCTGCAGGTGGGACGGATGGGAGTCCCACGTTCTGTTGAGCACAACTTATCCGCCGAGCTCGACGAAGGTGCGGACGATGAAGAAGATGAAGAAGAACATGGCGTTGCTCAAGGGGACCGTCCGCCCCTTATTCCGGAAGCGACGAGGAACGCCGATACGCCGAGCGCCAATAAAGGGTTGGCTCGACTCGGCGAGGAGATGAGAACGAGATCGGAATGGATGATGATGTTCGCGCCTGTGGCGATGGCGC